TAGTTGTAGATAAATATTTTATGACACCAATCAAATAAAAAAGTAAAAGTAATGAACCAAACTCAAAAGTATCATTTCACTATGTTGCTGTTCTTATCTCCTTTCTGGCTTGTCTGGTTTAGAAACTTTGCTTATATACCTTTCAAGGGAATCATGAAGCATGTTTTTTTTTTTTTTATTGTCAGCGGAAACGCGACACGTTGGTTTAAAATCGTTAAATATTAATTTTCAAAACATTAATTTATTAACCGGAAGGATGCGCAAATCCTCCGACTCAGAAACCATTTTTTCTCATTTGATGTTTGACTGTTTATTCCCGTCTTCCCTCTACAGACATGTTGCAAATTTTAGTGAATATCTATGCAGATCTCCAATGATTTGGATGACCAGAACCTGACAGCTCATCTCTCCTCTGACCTAATCTTAGTGGCTCAATAGAAGTAAAGAAAAGACTGGCTTGTATGACACAACAGTCATGGTGAGTCATACAGCAGAACTAGAATAGAGAGGAGTCAAGCGTGATCTTTGACAGTTCTTCACTAATATTCCTGTGGATACTGAAACACAAAAATACAACATGGGCGCAGGATGGATGAAGAGTGGGCTCGCCAAAGACATACACAACAAACACAGACTAAAGTAAGTGCGACATTCAGCGAAGCATGCAGCAACAGGGCCATACCTGTAAAATCCAATACATCCAAAAATCAAACTAGCAATGTTCCAACATCATCGAAGTAGACCTCTAACTTTGACCTATCATGATGGATAAGAGTTACTCAAGGAGGCTAATTTGTCTTGAACGTCTACTGGCACAAAAGCTCACTCCAGACCTCAAGTGTAACTCATATATACGACCGACAGATAAAGATGCTGAGAAAATGTCGGTTCTTTGTACCGCTCCAATAAAAATCTTGCTCCCGCTTTTATACTCTATCTTTAGAAGAAAGCCCTGTTCAGACCCCAAACATAGAGAGAGTATTATTGCAATATCGAGACTGGAGCTGAGCTGCCAAGTACTCACTTGCTTGTCTTGATAGAATTCAAAAGCATCTGTGGCCCTGTGGGTGATGAATTAATATCTACCCTATAACCACTTTTCCACTGATGAAACATGGCAGGCTTCTCAATCGCTATTTCCATGGCATGTGCACTAACGAGATACATTCCTTGGTTAAACCAGTCCTCGATCTGAAGCGGCGCTTGTATCGAGTGGACATTAGTATAAAAAAAAAAAAAACACAGTTTTGTCATTAATTCTGACCCACAGACGCCAGCCTGGTACACGAAAAGCAAAACACATTTTCATTAAAGTTTTTCCATATTTCTCTCTCATATATATATATATATATATATATATATATATATATATATATATGAGTAAGATAAAATATACATACAAATACTTGCATGTACGTAAGCATATTTATTCCTCAGGTGTTATAAACAGAGTGCTCAATGTTATGAGACAGCTTTAAGTATATATATAATATCCAAAGTCGATAACCTTACTGGAGTTTCATGTAGTTAATGCATATATATATATATATATATATATATATATATATATATATATATAGTAAATGTAATAAGTCCGTTGGTATATAATCCAAGTGGCTCCTAGCAATATAAAAAATATTATAATTGATTCACAAAAAGAGCTCAATGTACAGAGCAAATAATTAGTACACAAAATTCAAAATTATCTCGTATCGGGGACTACGCTTATTTCAGCAGATGAAATTCGTCAGCCTTATTCAACCCGGTATAGACCGAGTTGAATAAGGCTGACGAGCATTTTCACACTGTTGCCTGGCCCCATATGCAGCCTGCTTGGTAGGCAAACTATTTGACATGCTGTATGAGAGCTGCACTTGTCAGTAGAATGGCATCAATACCTATGTTACCTATGAGTGAACAAGTCCAGTCTTGCCTCAACAAGAACATCTGTTTCACATGCTTTAAGCAACACAGATGTCATCTGTTGCTTGGCTGCATGAAGACAAGGAGTGAAGATTCTGGAGTCAGCTTTCTTGTGATTGCAAAGACTTAAGCCATCAAGACTGATGAATCTGTTAGAACCTGGTCTCCTTTGGTCATAACAACGACATTGTCAGGACACATGGTCACTTATCAGCAAGGAACCCAAAGAGCTCTATCTTCTCTCTCGGGAAACGTTTCCAGTTAGGTAGTAGCTTGGTTTTCTCCATCACTTGGTGTTGATCCCCTTTGATTCTCTTTGATCTCGTTTCAGACTGGAAGTCCAATAAGCATTAAAAACTATGTCTGTCCTCGTGAAATTCCATGAGTACATATGAATCTTTGGAACCACATCTACAACAGCATATTCCACAAACCTATTTGATGTCTTTGGCAGCAAGGAATACATAAGAGAGGACCAATCAATGATAACAGCATCAAATCCTGGTCTAGCGTCAGGAGGAGTAACTATAGCTTCCAGAATTTTTGCAACTTGTGACTTCTGACCAGTGTGGCGTTTCCCCATTCACTCAGTCCTGGATCATTTTTCATTTTCAGCTGCTCTTTTAGTGACATGCTAAAGTTTATAGCTGTCAAACATTTGGCGATAATTTTGGTGGTACTTGGCACTATTTTGCATCAGTGTCCTCAATACCACCACCATCATCCAATCTGGATGGGTAACTGCATTGGTAATTGGTGGGTTGACTGAAATTGTTGTAGTTTTATTATTTTTTTTGCTATCATGGAATAACCATCAGAACTATATTCATAATAGGTTGAGGGAGACTTCAACCCTTCTTTTACACTAGTCTGACAGAGACAACACTTCACTTCCTCCAGTCAGTTTTAGGAATAGAACTCAGATTATCAGTGGACATATTGAACAGGTTAAGGCAGAGGTTTTATCCTTTTAACTTCTAGCTGAAATATAAACAGGAACTTACTAGATAACATTTGGGACACTCAAGTATACTACAAACTAAAGTTTAGGTTAGTAAACTCCAGCTACAAGTAGGACACTAAACCCCATGTAGAGTCTCACAGCAGTGTGCACTTGTGCTTTAACATCACTCTTATTCACATAATGCAATAGAGCTTGACCACATAACAGATGTTGCCCAGCATTTTGTAAGATAGTTACAAAAGTACCAATTTTAAGTAATGCAATGGATGCCATTTTGAAAATATATTTTTCGGATCAATAGCATATTCCTATTTATAGATGTTTAACACTGAAAAACCCTTTTCCTATTTTATAAAAAAATGGTGGACGTTTTCTTTTTCAATGTGGGTAAGTGATTTTTCTGAGAGAATGGGTCCTGGAGCACATGTATACCAAATTTGTACCATCAAGTGAAAGATTCTTGTGGGATACAGACTTAATGTGCCCCACTATTGTTTCTTTTGAAGTGGTTTCAAGAAAACTGGTCAGCATAGGTTGCCTTCTCATTTTCTGTTTGAGCTCAAAAATTTTCTTACTTCTGATCTTTACCGTGGCATTTTAAAACACTTCTACCCACGTTGCTAATGTCTAAGTTCTTTTTGCACTCTGTGCAGCTGATGTTCCATTTTGAACCATCTGCAGACAAAGAAAGCTCTGACTTTTTAAGTAACCAAGCATCACTCAACACACAATCTCCTTTCCCAATCATTACTAAAAATGGAAAATACTGTTGGGGGGGGGGGGGTTACAAATAAGGGTTTTAGTTTATGCTCCACACACACACAAGACAGAAAGAAGGAACAGAATTGCCAGATTTAGATTTTTAATATAAAACCATGTATTAATATATCTTTTTTTTTTTTCCACTTACAACAAAAACTAGATACAGGTTATTATTAGCCTGCAACTTTAAAAACATTTTTCTTATTTTTTCAAGACATTTTCTATCATCCTTCCTGTGTACATTTTAGACAAATGTACTTTGCACACCCAGATAGACATGGACACAAAGCATTTTTATTTTTTCAGTATGTACCCACCCACCTCAAGATCAAAAGGACGTTTTAATTTTGAAATTGCTATGTGAATAAAATTTATTCCATTTTTAAAAATATTGATAGTTTTTCAAGATATTCAATCAGCGTGAATTAATTCAATGAAGTCATTAACTTGTTCCAATCTAGGAATGAGCCATTTTTTTGTAATGATTGCCAAATATTACTGACTAAAAAAAAAAAAAAAAAAATTTTAAGGGACTATTTTAGTTTATAAAGAAGCCAATTTAGAAAATTGTAAGACTTTAAGCCTTGTAAATTTTCATGGACCTGTGAACCATTTATACTTGCATCCCGAAGAGGCAGAACATACTACACCTGATTAGTATGATGACAGGGTGAACAAAACTAAATTTCCAACCAAACATCCTTTCCATCAATTATCTCAACTAATCTGATAAAAAGGTAGGATTTATTTTTAATGTATTATCACCAATATGAAGGTTTTTCTGTTCATTATCATTTGAACAAACCTAATATGGAAAAAAAAAAAAAAAGAAAAGAAAAAGAATTATGGGATATATGCCTGAGGAGACAATAAAAGATCAATGATTCCACAAAGTGGGTGGACAGCCTAATCTACATAGAGAAAATGTAATGTTTTATGCATGGTTTTTAGGTAGAATATAGAGACTTCACTTTTTTTTTTTTTTTTGCTAAAGAACAGCATACCATGAGGGGGAAAAAAAGGGCCCTAAATTCAATAAAGCTTTATTGCCAAAATGTTTATCATCAAGAGGAAAGATCAAAGTCATTTTTTTGATTATTTAAAATTTTTTTCTTCTTTGTGAGCCAAGGCAAAAAATTCTTGCCAATAATTGTTTTAATTTTTGCATAAGTTTTGGACTTATTCACAAATGTATTCTGCTTACTGGAAATAGTAAATTTAATCCTTTAACTTTCAATTAAAGCTTCAAGAAAGCCTTTTTATATTTTTTTCAGTGGAGGTAAACAAAAAGAAAAGACTTTTTTTTTCCCAAAGAGATTTTATTTTTTTCCCATCTATACAGATCAACTTCTTAGATGATTCCAATCTGAAATGGAAAAGAAAAAAAGGACTTAAAATTAAGAATACCAAATTTTTGTAGAGAAATATCTTTACCTAGGCAATGTTTTTTTAATTCTCTTACTTCCAGTTAATTTTTATTCCAACTACCCAAGATGGTAAGTGAAATTAATTTACACCTGTCTCCAGAGGCCTTTTGTACTGCAACTACTATTTGCCCGACAGCAGTGCTGTAGATCAGATATACTTAACCATTGACAATAACCATGAATTAAAACCAAAAACTTTAGAGTAAAATTCAATATTCTTACTAACACTACTAGTGTATATATAAACAAGTAAATGATGGTGTACCAAGCATTTGGAGCAAAGAAGAAAAAGTCTATATACGGTTAGATTTTTTTTTTTTTAAATTAATTGGAGAAAAACAGCCCGAGGATGAGTGGTAAAAAGCAATTGCATACAAGATATAAAGGAAATGCTAGTACCAAATTAATAAAAGATCGGGACATTTGGGAGGATGAATTAATAAGAAGCCAATCTTACCTTGTTGGCAATATCTAATGCATCATAGTCAGACACTAATTTTACATAGGCTTTCTTTTCCCCATCAGGTCTGAAAAGAAAGAAAAATGTACATATGCATGAAGACAATGTCTACATTTAAATATGGAATATTTGGGGTACAAACAAATTAAAAAAAGAAAAAAAGAAGGGGTTTAGTGAAATTACAATATTGTAATATTCTTATCTTAATACTTAAAAGAATAGAATCTTTTTTTTTATTATAATGAACAGGATTAGCCGCCTGAAAATTCATTTTTTTTCTACCAATATTGATTTTCAGTTTTGTTTGCACCAAATTTTTACTGATCTATAAAAATATTACAGGTCATTAAAATGAATATGTGTACATGAATTACAAAAATATCTGATTCTGATGCTTGCTAAGAATTGAAACAAAATTGATTTTTATGAAAAGATCTTAAATGACCAAAACTGACAGAACAATTTTACATTTTAAATTTCCTTCATTCTCCATTGGAAATATTACAACATCCATCACATCTCAATTGTATTTTGAAAATCAAATAGTTTAACAGGAATGAAATTAAGTTTTTTCTTGTTACCAGCCATATATATTCCTTCTAGTCATAATTAGATAGCAAAGAAAATAAAACAAAATCCAACTTTCTCATCAGATTTGCCATTGATATAAATAATTCTCACTAGCACACAAAACCTTTACTACATACACTGGGTGCATTGCTCAGTTTGAAAAGCTCCAAAGCATAAAATAAAAAAAAATCCATTCACCTGATAAGTGTGTTGACTTTTTCTGCATCAATATCATACAATTTCTTTACTGCCTGGTTGATCTGATGTTTGTTGGCTTTCTTATCAACAATAAAAACCAAAGTGTTGTTGTCTTCAATTTTTTTCATGGCAGATTCAGTTGTGAGTGGGTATTTCACAATTCGGAATTGGTCAAATTTGTCATCCCGTCTGCAGGTGCTTTTCCTGGGGTACTTAGGGTCACGAGGTTGCCGGAACGTTCTCGGACGTCGGAATCTGACATTTGTACGGATTTTCTTGGCACGCTTGGTGTTAATTCCTTTTAGAATAGCTCTCTTGGCCCGGTTAGCTTTGGCTTTAGCCTTGACAACAGCAGTGATTACCTTGCGAGTTGGAGGCTCAACCTTCTTTTCGGATCCTTTTTTGGAACCTACAAAAAGCATTGTATATTGTATGTATCACTTTACAATCCCAACAACCCACATCATTTACTTATTTAGTTTTATGAAATTGACAAATTCATCCTTGTAGAGCATATTTATATTAGTAATAATCCCATCAAGAATTTAAACCAAATTTGTTGTTTGTCAAACAGGAAGTCCCAGTTGTAGAAAATCTGCTCTGAATTGTAAAATCAAAGTTTTTTCCTAATTAGATAATGGCTTAGTTTTATTGCATTTTTTGCAAAAAAAAAAAAAAGTTTGAACAAAGTAACTATAAACAACTTTTTTTTTTTATCCTCTGCCAAAATCCTTTTTTAAAATATTCCATAAAATTTAATGGGGAGGGAGAGGGTTGACAATGATGGAGAAAGTCCTTACAACTTGAACCATCAACCACCAGTGAGACACATGTAAAAATCCATAATTAGAATTTTTTTTATTTTACAATTCAGAGCAGATTTTTGGTGAGGAGGACTGTTCCACACAATTTTTTTTATTTTTAGATTCCACAATATAAACTTTAGGTTGGCCAAAATCTAACTTTTTTTTTTAAAAATATTCCATAAAATTTAATGGGGGAGGGAGAGGTTGGACAGGAAAAAAAAGTCCTGAAATTTCCATTAAAATCCAACAGCTATTTGATTTTTTCCAAGAAAGTCCAAACAACCCCCCCACACACCAAAATTCCCTATACAACCTTGCCAAAGATAAACAACCAATTGCAACAACACAAGCTTAAGAGTTTGGTATATTTTACTTCATGTAAAATCCATAATTAGAATAATTACTTTTTTTTATTTAAGTACAATTCTCTAGATATTCATTTTTTCTTTTAATCCCTACAAACCTTATTTAAAGAACAGTTACTTTATTTTGCCCCATTGGTAAAATTAAAATACAATCAATAGATCACTATTTTTTTTTTTTTAATAAATTAAAGTCACAAATCTCAGCTTTATATTTGAAATTAAAATACTTTACTTCTAAATCACTTATTTTCAGAATCCTGAACACTTAACTTTCTTAGATATTAATTTTTCATTTATGCCCCACCTTTAGATGAAAGTGATATATTCTTACAAATGACTAATTACTAATGCTTCATAAGAATCAAAGTTTGTATTTCTTTAGTTAAAACTAAACTTATCTTTCATTGTGTGCCATCAGGCACCATTTACTGTAGTTTTATGAGTGGTAGTGCATGACATTTGAATAAACAATATTCATTTAAGGAGACCAAAAACATCAAATTCAAACTAATTTAAACTTCAGGTTTAAAAGGACTTTATTTTGTATTTTTTTTTACTTAACATGTTCCTAATTTTCATGATGGTAGACTGAAATTGCCATTATCATGATCTAAAAGTTTTGTCCCTTTAATAGGTCGCTTCAATTACATTTCAACAGGTTTCCAAAATTTCCATCCAGTTTTAAAAGTTTAAAGCTTAAATTAAGTCTTACTTTTAATTACTATTTCACTAAATATTTTTATTTTATGTATTTACGTTAGTGTGGGACTTACTTCAATTAAGTAATTACGGTATTTCATTTGTTATTAATTTATAAAACTAATTAAAGAAAATTTTAGAGTATTAATTTTTTTTATTTTTGCATTTTTCAAAAGATAAATAAAAGCCAATAAAATATTAAATAATTGCAGAAAATGTTCATTTGTAAAAATTACTAGGTAGAAAAAAAAAAGAAAAAAAGCGTTTACTTAGATTTCTGAAAATTATGTCAATTAGTGTCATCCATAAAATATTGGTGATCTTTAGACCTAAAAAAGGTGATTTTCAGCTAAAAATTAAAACGCTAAAAAGGAAAAAAATTAAAAATAATTAAAAATACAGTCAATTAACATAAATTTTTGATAAAACGTTGTTTGTCAATCAAACCTTGATCACATGAACAGGACCAAGCATTATTAATTGGTTATATTACTGTTTTTATGCTATAAGTAATATTTCAAATCAGATTAATTTAACTTTAAAATATGCTAATTTTATTCAATGTGTCAGATGTATGAATTTTAAACTGTTTACAAATTTCTTAAAGAAAATGGCCTCTTTTAAGAAATCGAAATTAAATTTGACATTCCAAACTATATAATTTCTATCTGAAATACACCAGAATATTTTACTTAATGGAAATAATAAATTTAATCAAACCTTTCAAAGCTAACTTTTTCATTTTTAAAATTTAATTTTAAACCCTAGGTATTGAAAATTTTTTGCTGAAAAAGCAGGAGGTGCCTAATTAAATTTAAAGCACAATTTTAGTTGCTATCAAAGAAATGTGATAACTAACGTAATTCTTAAAAATGAAATCTTTAAACTTTTATTTATTTTAATAGATTAAATATTTCCAATTAACACAACACTTTGTTGCAATTCAAAAATAATTTAAATTGATTTTGGTAATTTTTAATCATCTGTCATCACAATGTAATTCCCTTTATTAAAAAAAGGGATCTTTCAAAAATAAAATGTACTTTTCTGAAACTGAGGAAAATTAGATGATGTAAAAGGTGTACTGATGTTCATCTAATTAAAATCTGGCAATTTGATTTTTGCAAGAATTTCCAAGTCGAGTTTTTCACCACAAAAAAATTATTTAATATGAAATGCTTTGGTCTTTCCTCTTAACTAAAGATTGATAAAACTTTTTAAGTTTGGGATATTTATATAAAAAAAAAAAAAAAAAAAAAAAAAAAAAAAACTCTTTCTAGAGGTACCTACATTTTTTAGTGATACTGTTTTCTTTTTAAATTATTTCACTAGTTTGGTTCTGCAGCAGATACATATCTGAAGTAATGAATTTTTTTTTTTTTAAATTATAGTATATTTCCTTTGTTAATTGCCTTTTCTCGCTATGTCCCTTCAGGGTGTAGGGACATTATAGCTCTCCAGAGATTCTTTTATCACCTGTAAACTGTCATTAACTTCTCGGCAAAGGCTGGAGTGGTCCCCGTTGTAATCTTCAATTTTTGAATCCATAGGTGACCCCCCCACAACTCTAGACGCCATCCAAAATTAGAAATTATTCAAGTTCCCCTCTATATATTTGTAAAGTGAACGATAGACGAACATATTCGTCACGACCAAATAACAGTAAAAGAAAAAAACAAAAACGGAATAGAACCTGCCACACTTTATGAAAACTACAAGAGGTCCACCCCCACCAATAAATACGATAATTAAGACATGAAATCAAAACAGTAACTTTTTTTATTACCTGTGGAAGGAAAGAAAAAAAATCATGGATACTGCCATCGATTTCGTTAAAATCAATTTCCTTTAAAGGAAAGTACTTTAATAGGAAATTATATTTTCTCCACAAAATTTCGATGAATGATTTTAGGCTTTAGAACGGTTTTCGAGGGGGTCCAGGGGGTATAATGCATATTTGTGTCGACTTTTATCCTTACAAGTTTAAAGCACGTTTTATTAGATTTTTTTTTCCCAAAATAATTAAGACAAAATTTTTTGTAAAGCCGAAAATACTCAGACACCGAATTATTTATATTCAAACTTTTTTATCGGAAACTAAGAAAACAATCACAGTTTATAACATATGTACTTAAATATATATATTTTTTTTTCAGTCGTGTGGATATTAGTTTGTGACACTATGTTTCACGCTTTGTTGATAATGAAACACTATGTCTGTGTGTCTCTCTCATATATATATATATATATATATATATATAGAGAGAGAGAGAAAAATTCAAAGATCTCCAATTTGGCTGGTTTTTAACAAAACTTGTACAAAAGAACAATTGCTGCTGAAATACGCCATGTGTTATAAAATTTAATAAGTCAGTCCAGAAATGCAGCTGAATAACATTTACCACAAATCAAAATTTGAATTTTTCTATTGGGAGGGGGTACTGATAATATTAAAAAAATTTAATTCTTAAAAATTCTAAAGATTTGGAAAAGTCTGAGATCGACTTAAAAAATCTCTACATCTAGCAACACAAACTAGTTTTCATATTTCCCAATGAGATAAAAATACGGCGTGGAAAATAATTAGTGCAGATTCTGAGCTAAACGTTTTCAACCAATAAATTCTTCACAAAAAAAAAAAATGTTCAGGATTGAGAACTATGTAATGTATAAAATTAGGCACTTTAAAATCATAAAAATGCGTAAACACGTGTATATATTATTAGAGAATAGTAGAGGGATCAGTCTTAAATGCAAACAGCCTTGTAAATTAATCCCCGAGTAAATGTCCAGGCAGTAGTATCCCAAAAAAGGTAGCCATCTTGTTTTTTTAAAATACCACGCTGTTCAGTTATAAATAATGATTTCCCAAATCCTACAATATTACAATGCAATAAAAAATTAAACCCTTTGAATGTAGACATTTAAATAGAGGATGACTTAAGAAGTACATTTATTTCAATTAAGATAGCCTTTATGTTAGAAATATATCTGTTAGTGTTGGATATTTTCAATTCAACACAGCCCGGTGTCGGTTTGATCAATTTTAGGTATCAATTCCCTAAGGAAAAGGTGATAAAACGTTTATCTACGTGCAACAATGAAAGATTAGAAGCTTCAGAAAGCTTTTTTGCAAAAGAAATCTGATAAAAATCTAATGCTTACCGCCAGATTTACCACCTTTGCCGGGAACAGACTTCTTCTTAGGCGCCATCTTGATGTAAAAGAGAACGAGAAAGGCTAGGAGATGTCACGTGTTACTTTAGCACAGCCTCGTTACGGTTTCCGTTTCCGTTAGAAAGTTCGTGGAACAAAGGTCACTTCCGTTGTGAAGGCGAATATCTACCCACGCGCACTAGGCAGGAAAAGAAAACTTCAATTGAAACTTTTAAGAACAAGAAAGACAGCAAACATTTTTACTAGATATTCTTTTAAAACTTTTGACCTTTGTTTGTCATCATACAGTTATCCTTTCATAAAAGCAAGTATGTTTTTAAAATACCTACTATTTTAAGTTAATTAATTAATTAATTAATTATTAATGCAATCCACAAGTTTGTTTTCATTTTCAAAGTGAAAATTCGTGTTGATTTGACAAGTCACAAGTGGGTGTTATTTTCCATATTTTTTTTTTAGCTTAATTTAAGTCACTTTAAAAATGTTTTCTATTTTCCAATCAACGAAAATTGTATATTCTGATGTTAGATCGTGTTGTTAAGGAAGAGAAAAAAAAGTTTTTATCTTAAAGAAAAATAATTTTAAAAAAGCTGATTTCTTCGCATTGAATATTATCTCTAGCAGATATTGTCCTTCTATTTGTTTTATAGCTTTCGAAAAGGCATTCAGTATTGTCACTTTGTATCCATACAATATATAAATAAACTTTTGATAAGCATTTTCATTTAGCAACAATATTTCCCCTCCACCACCACACTAAAAAAAAAACATTGTAATTTAAAAAATAATTCACTTTTTCCATTTTCTTTTTGTTTATTCGAAATTTTATTTGCATAATTGAAAATAAAAAAAATAATTCGCATCGTTTCGATATATCTTTCAAATTCGATCAATTGTTATAATTATAAAATAGTGGACACTTTTAGTTTTAAAGAAAAATAAAATGTTAAATAAATAAATTGGTAGTCTTTCTTTAGTTTTGCGAAAAATTTAACTGATGGTATCCCTTTTCAAATTGTAAGCAATTTTAATTAAAACTGAAAAATAACTTAAGGTACTTAGTTTCCCGACGATTTAAAACTCCTCCCCCACCCATTCCTAATGCAGATATTGTTGAACTTGAAAGATATGGTTAAAAATTAAAAAAAAAATATTTTTGTTTGACACACAAAATTTACTATGGAAATTTTGATATCTGCATTTTCTTACGCTTTTTTTTTTTTTTTTTTGTATTTATTTTACTGTCTAGCGAATTAGAAGTTTTATTTCATGAATTAAATCGATTTTTTAAATTTTAACCCTTTGTTTCCCAGCAATGAATGGATTTTACTCTATTTTTGAAATGAAAAACAAAAATCTTATTTGAAGCTTTTTTTTGTTGTTTTATTGCAAGCTAATAATATTTCTAATAAGGAAAATACTAACTTAACTTTGCTGTATTTGAAATAGTTGTATTTTTTTTTAATCGCTAAAAAAACCTGTCACAACGTAATTCTTTTTTTATTATTAAAAAAATTAATAAAAATCATTCAAAAATACTTTTCGGAAACTTTATTTCAGGAAGATTAACTGATTTAAAGTTTAATTAATAGGATTTACTTACTACTAACTAGTTTAAAATATCTCTGAAAAATTTTTAACACAGCGGTAGGTGTTTTTTATGAGGTGCTGAGTTGACAGATTTGGCAAATTTAAGTGAAAGGTACATAATTGTAAAAATTACTTGAGTACATGAACGCCCATTTTTATAATTTTTTAACTACACAAGTATTAATCTAAAAAAATTAGAAAAATATTCTAAGTAATCGATTTTCACTATTTACATTGCTCAGGCTATCATCCTCATCTTTGTTGCCATATTTATCACAACGTTTCGGCCGTTGTATGCTCCAGCCGTCTTCAGGTGGTTGGAGTTGGAATGTCAAACTAAAAACCCTTGAGGATGATAGTCCAAGCAATGTACATAATACCTCAGAAATATAGACAGGTAATCTATTTTATTGAATTTTAGGTCTAGCTTTGTAATCTTAAGATACTTGTTTAAGGAAATGTTAAAAAATTACCAATGAACTTAAATTTACTATATTTACTGCTCTTATTTTCTGATGATATTGTTATGGGTATGGAGATCCATATTTGCAAAAATCAGCATGTTTATACACCTCAAAAAAAATTTCAAATTCTTTTTAAAATACTGGGGTAGCTGAATTCTAGTAAACTTTTCCACATATGATTAGTAAATGTGGTTTTTAATTAATAAAACGTTACTTAACTGCTACAAATACAGAATTTTAAAAGATTTAAAACTTTATATTTTAAATTATTATAACTAAAAGTAAAAAAATAAATACAATTGTTGTAAAAATTCATTATGCATTGAAATATTTTTTTCTTAAGACAACAGTGTCTATAATATATCTTATTCATAAAAGCAATTAAAAGATTTTCTAATTAAATATCTTATTTTTATTGCATTTTTTATTTTACAATTTGGAGGTGATTTTTCTGTAACAGGGAGGTAGGGTAGGTCCTGTTTGACAAAAAATGATTTACATTCTCCTAGGATTTGTCCTTAAAAGTAATATAAACATTTAATGCTACAAAAATGAATTTCTTTAAATTTCATAAAATTAAATAAGTGGGGGTAACTAATGTAAAAAAAGAAAAAAAAAAAAGAAAAATGCAAAGATTTTCTATAAAAAAAGAAATGTTTTTAAAATAATGAAAGTTTGATTAAAATCCAACAATTAACTGAGTTTTGCAAGAATTTCCAAAGCAAAGTTTTTGTTTTCATTGAAAAATTTCCCATGGTAATTTATGGCCCCTGTTGATGCAAGTAAAACAGAATTTCAAAGGTTCTGAAAAGGATAAAAAAGATATAATACAATTGTTGAAAAAGCTTTTGATCTTCCATTTTAATAACGTAAGGGTTTGAATCAGGTATGCTCATTTTTTTTAGTGAATCTTTGGCAGTATCTAATTTTATGCCTCCTGGTACATTTGTCTTGCAAACAATATTTGGCAGACTCCTGTGAGTTCAGGTAAAAAAAAAAAAAAACTAGAAAATATGGAATTCAAGCAAACAACAGTTAATAAACTTATGAACAAATCATGTTAAATATGTAAAAGAAAAAACTAAATTGCACTTATTGACAGCTCAATGCAATGTTTAGACTTTCTTTTGCATGCTGTGTTTCTATCAGAGCAAAAGGGAATGTGTCTTGCTGCTAGTCCAAGAGGAAGAGCTTTTCAAATGTGCTGACTCTGATTATTGTCAGAGGTGGTATTCCAACATGTCAGACAAACAGCAAAGAAATTAGATCTTGAGTATGGCTGATATAGTTTAGCAGCAAGATTGCTCAATTTTCTCAAGGCCGGTGTGAACAATTCATGATGTCCACCTTTATAAAAACCACTTGAATATTTGTAAACCCCAAACAGGTCCATTCCCATTTCTCCTTTTGTTAAGTGGCAACATATCAATCTGACTAGAGGCTAGATGCAAGCAATGTCTCTGCACACTTTCCAATGGATCAATTTCTTTTTTTTGTAGCATGGACTCCAGCAAAGAGCCCCATATTTCAACACTTAGCATACCATAGATACATACAAAGTTTTTCAGCTTTTGGGGAGTAAGCCCAGTAAAACCATGTTTAAAGATGTCAACATTGTTTGGCTTTCTTCACAATATCAACAAAGGAGGAGGCATGGTGGAGTAATGGATAGTGGATGGGAGTGAGGAATCGGAGAGCTGAGTTTGAATTCCAGTCGATTCCATTACATTCACTTACATGCTAATACCCTTGGAAAAGGTATGAATCCATTTCTTCTCTTCCCAGCTATGGGTAAATAGCAGGACAGACTGGGTTATAGAGCCTTGGATGGCAACTGGTCTATTGCAGAAAGAAATGGCAACCTACTGCGGGAAAAAAATCTGCCTCGTCAGTCATGTATTGAAAGATACATGATCGCCTAAGCGTGTATCACGCATGGCACATAACTGACTGCTTCCTTGGAGATAAATCATTGGATATGAATTAACAATCACCTCATGTTGCACTCATTTTCAGTTTGTTTCTGTAGTAAAATAAGTCTTAGTGAATTTCCTGTATATGCTTTTAACTTTTACTCTTTTTCACTGTTTGCAATGATCAGAGTTAAAGTTTTAAATTTTGTTCAATAAATCCTAGCCATTCATTCTTTTGTTTTTTATTTATTTTAGTTTTACTCCTAAGAAATTTCAAACTGTTTCTCTTCCACTTCACCCAATCATGCCACACAATGTAAGAGTCCTTATCACACCAAATGCTGCCAAAGATAGGGTCATCAATAAATTTCCATCTGTAAGTATTATTTATATTTCTTTCATCTCTATACTAACTTATTAAATAAATTAACAGAAACTCAAAAAATATGTGTAAATGTGTGAGCTGAATACATATATATTGATTTAAGAAATAATTGAAGTGCTCAAAGATGATAACTATGCTAGTGATGTGAAGGAAAGCAATGATGACCACTTGTAGCTACTATCAACTATGCCTGACTAATTTTATGGAAGCTATTGGTTACCATCCATATACCTGATAGCCTTTCTGAAGGTGTATTATTTTGTCTATTTATAAATGACAAAATAGTAACTTTATTTGCCAACAAGACAAATAAATGAGTCAGGTGAAAGAAAGAGCAAATAAATACTAGTATCTTCTCTTACGTAAACACGAGGAAACATGTCACTTTTTTAATGAACTGAAAACCTTCTTAGTGATTTTTGCTTTTAACTGAACCCCCAGAACTACACAAGAAGTAATAAAAGTTAAAGTATGTTGGATTATTTATGTATTTTTTAATGTATTTGTTTTTTTTTTTTATTTTGTGTCTCAATTTTTTTGTTTTCAACATCAAAACATGCATGCAAAACGTAATCACCAAATGTTGGGTTCAATCCAGAGGGATGACAAGTAAGAGCATCCCCCTCCCCAAATTTATTGACAGATCCTACAGATGTATGCTGGGATTTCTTCCTAACCTATAATAATGGACAATACTCAGTCTTGCTGCCATATTTTTGTTCTTTCCTTGTCTTGAAGTCAGAATGCTATAACCACTTTCTTCTAGCCTGGGCCCTTTACTTTTACATATAATGCTGTTCTTTTGGGACATAAATGAGTCCAGTCCGTTTAAATCTGGATTCCTAAAAGTGGCTTCTCCAGGTCAGAAGTATCTCAAAATTATATGTAAGACCTTTCCTTTTTGTTCCTCATATGTTGCTTTGCTATGTAGATATATGTGATATATAGTTCTCAATGTGGGACGTGTGTGTGTGTGTGTGTGTATATATATATATATATATATATATATATAACATTAGGCAGCATATGATTTAAGGATTAAGGATCAAAACTCGCACTATGGATGAACAGGATTTTAATGCATATATTATGTTTTCTAGCGATGGATGTCGCCAATAATAATGTCTGATTAATACTTCTGATATATATATATATATATATATTATATATATATAATGTATTATGTAAAAATGTTATTCAGACTATATTTATTACAACAAGGACACATGGCACAGTGGATAAAGGCGTTTGTTAGATCCAGTGACAGGACCCAAAGAGTGTGAGTTCAATACCCGGTTAAGGCAGTAGAGAACTTGGAGAGGGGAATTAACAGGAGATAACTGATAACTGAAATCCATTAAAAAACATGGCACGTGGAACTAAAACAGTGTACCCCAGTGAGCGAAATAAAGAGTTCAGTTCGACATTCCAACCTCCTGAAGAAGCCCAAAGCGTACAACGGCTAAAATGTAATAGATATGGCGACAAAGATGAGAACAATAGTCTGAAATAGTGTGTACATGGTTTTGTTTATGTCTTAGTATTATAAAAGTCTCTCTGAGAACAAAGCATGTTTATCATTCTTTTTCATTTCAGCCATTCCATTCTGACCTGTCCATGAGCTATGGTGTTGTTATTTCACGGATATAATAGTACCGTTAACGGGAGAAACATAAATGGGGGAATAAATCCTTGTTCCCTATCTCTCCTCCCGTTACATTTGCTTACTATTGTTTTGCTTTGTTCTTTTTCTTATTCCTGATTAGCGTAAAATTACCTATCACAGAATTCTGGATGAAAATACTACTTCATCAAATATTCTTGTATTCATGACATTCCAGTCAATGTTCATAAGCCAAGAATTCAGTGTTAATCATCTTCAGTAGTAAAAGATTAAATACATCTGGCAGTAAGGGAAACCAGATATGATTTAGTATTTTACCATTTGTGGACTAAAATTTGTTTTAGCAAATTTTAGCATGAAAGTTATACCTGGAAAATCTGAAAGGAATTGTCAAAGATCCTGAATTAAAGTATGCTATACTGACAGAACTGACCACTGAAAATCAGTAGGAATGAAATTGTCATTAGTAAGGAGTTAATGTAAGTAAAAAAGGTAGCAAATGCCTATTATATGTATAAAATAATACAACCTTCCAATTTTGGTTTTTGATTCTGATACAAAATTTATGATTATCATGATAGATAACATTTAAGCAGAATAGAAACTCAAATGACTTGGCCCTTGTGCCACTTTTCTAGCCACTAAATCATCCTTTTTGACAATGTAGATAAATGTAAATATTTTTATCTTATCTTTTTGCAGGCCTTTCATCCAGATGCATCTCCCTACCATCAGTTGAACTTTAGCCCAAAGGTCAAGATGGCATGTTCCGAGAATAAAACTGGACGTGTCAGGTGATGGATAGTTTTGGTTATTATGATTATTATTATTATAATTTAATAAGCAGGGAAAAACTGAACAGTTCTCCCTGACTTTGGCGATAGACAAAGAATGACCAATCACTTAGATTTACATTTAATGATAGTCACTGATTATTTCCTTGGCTCTGTCTATATGATGATAAGCAAAGGCATTTTTCAAAAGCTTTCATAATTCAAAAACTACCTTGTTGAATTTCAATTTGGTTTAGTCTATTCTCAACCCAACAATGTCTGCCATTATTTATGACATTGTGTAAATCAAAGCTTCTCAAACTTTACTTGATAGTCTCATTGTAATAAAATAGAATTTCTATTCATCCCTAAATAAATTGCATATAAAAAAACAAAATACAATTGATGGAATATATTATATATATATATATATATATATATATATATATATATATATATATATATAAAAATTTTAATATTATACATATAATATATATTTGAATAGTTGGAGATTATAGCTATCAGGGAAACAGGAAAAGGAGAGGGAGTTCCATGGGCGAGAAGTGTGAGACATGAAGCTATTGGAGTAGAAGAGATGGCTGCATTTAACAGTTTTGGCAGTGAAAGGGTGAGAGTGAGATGCCAGCCTAGTTGAACACTTAAATTCATGAAGTCTAGGAACCAGTGAAAGCAGCTCATCGGAGCAGTTACTGTGAAAGTATTTGTAAAAATGACAGATGAAGGCAACGGCATGTCTGTGACAGAGCGACTGCAAACAAGATGCCAGATCAGGGCCAATTACATTGCATATCTGTCTCTGGATCTTATTAAGAACCTTGAGACGCACAGAAGGGGCTCCAGACCATATATGGCAGCAGTACTCCATGCAAGGGCAAATGGTTGATTTGTAGATTTGACGGATTGACTCTGGCGAGAAAAATTTCCTGGCACGGTACAGGGAGTCATCATGGGAAAAAATTGGTAAACTATAAATTCAAATGCACTTTTTAATGCTTGGATTTATTTTTAGTTGGAAGTATGTGTTTTGTGGGCATGGCAAAGATCATAAATATTAGATTGGTGCTGCAAATGGTCAGTTCCATATACTACTCTAGCAAGTATCTAACTTCTGCTATCCTAGAGCAGGCCGAAAATGGAGTACTATTTCAGGAGCTGCTCAGTCTTTCTTTTTCCACTCTTGATAGTCCAAAAGCATCTCCACATACTTGTGGGTGATTATTTTTCACACTGTAACTGCTTTTTTAGATGAAATGCTCTATCACTATTTATATGGAAAGTATTCAGACATTCTTTAGTTCCACCAGTTTTAACATTCAGAGCTAAGCTACAAATGAAGATTGTTCACTACATTGTAGTGAACCATCTTCATTACCTTCTTCTTCCATTGGTAAGATGTAAGTTCCACTTGGACAGCTTCTTCCTATGAACTGCTGCCTTGTGGAATCAACTCTCCAGAGGCTGCTTCCCCGTTCACTACAATCTTAACCTGTTCAAGTCTATGGTTAACCGTTATCTTCCCTATATATCCGTATATGCTGTGCCTATTGCTCTGCAACAATCTATCTTGAGTGGCCCCTTGTACAGGGTGGACACTGTTATAAAAAAGAAAAAGAATTGTCCTAACTATACACAAGTCCACATTCAGACTATTGTCCTCATCTTTGTCGCCATATTTATCACGTTTCGTTTTTATGGGGTGGGTTTGAGCATATGAAATGCTAAAGGCTTAAAGTCAGACCATCAAGTCCACTAATCTGTGTTTTTTTTTTTTTTTTTTCTTTAGCTTACGAATTTCCAAGGCTGTGATTGTTGGAGACATTTCTGTCGGAAAAACCTGCCTTGTCAACAGGTAAATACTTGACTTTGAAAATTTCTTGAATAAGACAGATGCATTTTAATTCGGACTCAATAAATCAACATTCCTGAAGTATTACATTTCCTTTTTATGTTCAGAGGGGGTGACAACAGGAGGTTTGTGTTGTTGTTGGGTCAAATAAAGGAAATTATCACAACTTCCCAAAGCCACATATCCAAATAGTTTCAAATCCACTCACAGCAACCAGCTTTCTTTCTTCCCTCTTGTTCACTCCCACTGGCTTTATATGCGTTCAAAGGCAGGTATGTTAATCCATATGCAGCACATTTAGTTATTTCATCAACCTCATAGGTAACATATCCACGTTATTCTATGAAAACCGATGGAATAAGTCTGTTGCAGTTTTTCCCTTGTATTATGAAGGCCAATGTCATTGGCAGGTGCAGACCTTCAGCCGTTTAGAAGGTAAGTGCGTTTCTTCTGCACAATACTATAATTCAAATCTCTTAGAATCTGCAGTATTTTATTCTCACCTCATTCTTTTCAAAATTATATTTTGCATTGTAGTGTCAAAATTGTTTTTTTATGTCTTATCAACCCTTTGTTGGTTATTTAAACCAAAACATATTTTGGATCATAGAGGTTGTTGTCTACCTAATGTTCCTAAGTCATCCTCCATGTAAGTACTAACCAGGCTTGCCATTGCTTAACTGCAGTGATTGAACAAGATCTAGTGTTTTCAGCATGATTTGGCCAGCAGAAGTGCAAAATTAAAATCTAAAAATTTGGCATAAATTATATAGAGGAGTTAATGGGCCATTAAAATGAATGTGTTTGTCATTTAAAATAAAATGATGACTTGTACATGTTATCTGTCATGATTATGAATGGTGACAGAAGTTTGGTGGGTGTAGGTAAAAGATCAACCAGGTTTCAAAGTTTTTTCCCTTTGGTATTCTTGCTGTATTTAGCCTTATGTTGTCATGAGGAACAACAACATTTGACTCATTGGCAAGCACAGCGCTATTTTTGACCAAACTTTTTATGGACATGTTGCTGTTGCTGGATGTATAAATGTGCATTTAGTGTTTCAGAACTCTAAATGAATAATACCCCAATGACCCTGCCACATACACAATATTACTTTCTTCTATGGAGTTCAATTTTGGGGGTCAATTATGGAACGACCATACTTCAATCTCAGAACATTTAAAGGAACACTCGTGTGCATGCCCACAGTTTAAACAAATATTAGTTGAAAATACATCAGTGCTTCATCAAGATAATAATAAGCAAAAAATGGAAGCCCTTTATGTAAGAAAATTGAGGCTAAAACTAAATGGTTAACTACGAGTATAGCAACAAAATTCTTAAATGTTTGTAGCAGCAAAATGTTATAAAAAATACTAAATTAAAAAATATTTAAAAAAATCGCTTAAGTTACCTCCCTTGCATAACGGTGAAAATATATTTTGAATTTATGGTGTTAATGCATAACCCATCCATAGATATGCAACCCCCGAAGATGGTCTCAGATGAGATTGAAAGTACTTGAGAAAATAAAAATTATTTGAAAGAACATTTTGGAATTTTTCTTGATCCATTTCCTACAGCCACCAAGAAATTAATTCATGGAATTGAAAGGATTAAAACTAAAATAAATAGGCATAATACATCTAAATTATTTAACCAAACATGCTTGAATGAAAATATGATGCATCTATATATATATATATATATATATATATATATATAACATATATGTATAGGTAGTAATCTGTTGGTATAATCCAGGTGAGTTCTATTAACACAACATAGAATTTGAAATATGTTAAAACTAACTCACAAAAAGAGTGCACCATATTTTTTTTCATTAAACAGAGCAAATTTTCTTTACAACTGGAATTAAGATACCTTTAGTAAATGACCATTTTCACCTATGAATTTTAAAATGGTCATTTACTAAAGGTATCTTAATTCCAGTTGTAAAGTGTGTGTGCAATATATATTAATGATCCTTAATATGGATTCAAGAAAGCAAAAAGGACTTTATTAATTACTGATGATAATTATTTTTAATCTGACATTTTTTTTCTTCCTCAGATTTTGTCATAACATATTTGACCGTGATTACAAAGCAACAATTGGAGTTGATTTTGAAGTGGAAAAATTTTCCATATTGGCTGCTCCCTATACACTTCAGGTGTAAGTAATTTGTCACTTTTGGATGTTTTTAAGCTTCTTGTTGTCTTTCATCCAGAAAATAATTTGAAAAAATTAGTCTGATGCGAGGTGGAACTTGGGTGAAGATGATAACCATGCTAGTGACATGGAAGAAAGCGATGATGACCATTAAATACCAATTGGCTACTATCATCCGTGGCTGACTAATTTTATGGAAGTTACTGGCAACCATTGATGTACCTGATAGCCTTTCTGAGGGTGAATTATTTAGTCTATTTATAAACGACAAAATAATAACTTTATTTGTCAATGAGACAAATATGCTAGACAGGTGAAAGAAAGACCAAATAAATTTTGGTTCTCTTCTCGTATGTCAACACAAGGAAGCACGTCACTTAGCCATTTTGCTTCTTATTGCAACCCAGAACTACACAAGGAGCAATAAAAGTTAAAGTCTGTTAAATTGTTAATGTATTTATGTTTTGTTTCAATCTTAAAACAAGCATGCAAAACATAATGCATTACATCAAAATATTATTCATCCATTCTTTTATTAGTATACAAAAAATAAAATCTATATGCACAATACAAAGAAAGTTTATAACAATTTTAAAACAGTTGGTGTTCATGATTTTGTGCTGTAAAAAAAAAAAAAAAAAAAAAAAAAAAATGTGCAGTGGCAGGGAGGAGCAGTTCTAGGAAGAAATTAGTGTTGTAAAGGTTAAAAGTAAATTCTTGTTCAAATGTGTTGGGCTGTAGCGTGTAGCAAGGGATGCTTTAAGCTGTCTGTGGAAACACTCCACTAGTCCATTTGCACATAGGTGATATGCAGTCATTTTTATGTGTTTCATTCGTAGCAGTTATGTTAATTCCTTAAATAGAGTGGAATGAAATTGAGGACCTCGATTGGTTGTGATCCTTTTGGGTACGCCAAAGTTTGCTATCCATAAACAAATAAGTTCTCGTGCAACTGTTTCACTTGTAGAATCAATGAGAGGGGTGTTGCTATAAGCCAATCTTTTGAACCAGTCAATGATCCTTAATATTTATGTGAATTCATTAGATGGTGGGAGTGGTCCAACCAAATCGATGTGGATATGTGCAAATCATTGATCAGGTTCACTGAAAGGAATTTTGTGTCTATGGTTTTTATTCCTCTGACAAGGCACACAATTTTCAGTCCATGAATGGATGTGTGTATTCATATGAGGCCCAGACAAAACGGTTTCTGATCTTTTTCTGAGTGACCCTTTTTCAAGGATGAACTCTGTTGTGGAATTTTTCAAAAATATGACTTCACATTGTCATTGGTATGAATGGCCTGGGCTTTGCCATAGATGTGTCACACCAGATGTCGGAAATTCTAAAAGGAATAGGCATTTTCATCAACTGTAAAGAAGTTTCTTTTTGTGACTTGTTAAGAGACTGTTCTTGTTCTAGTTGTTCATAATGTATTTGTGATTATTTTGTCCATATTAACAGTATTTACTGTGATTCTTGATAGAGTATCTGAGATTATGTTGTTTTTCCCCAGAGATGCATTTTATAGCAGTTAAAAAATGAGCTACAAAATCCAGATGCCTGATTTCTTGTGATGAATATTTGTCCGCTGTTGTTTGGAGGGAATATGTGAACAGTTTGTGGTCTGTGAAGATTATGAAATGTCTTCCTTCCAATATGTGTTTGTAATGTTTGACAGTAGCATATGTTGCTAGTAGTTCTCTGCCAAAAGTGCAGCATCTTTGAGTGTGAAATGTATATGGGATGTACATGGTAAATTTCTTGGTGTTAATTCCATGACGCCAGTGATACCAACAATATTTTCAATATTTTCCGATGTCTGCTATTGGACCATCTCCCCTGTGTTTGCGTCATATTTTTAAAACATTTCTTCTGACTTGTCTACCTTTTTATTTTTTTGGTATCATTGAAGTGTTTATGGTGGGTGTGATGTGGACATCATGTATATTATCTGCCATTTCAGCTAACATGTCAAGCTCTGATTTTTCAGTCAGTGTTATGAGAATTTTGACCATGTCTATGAATAGCTTATCTAACCGCAATCATCATAGTAGGTTTTCATCCATAGAGTTGCTACCTAAAATGTTCTTATGTCCTAGTAGATGTGATCTGTTGCCAATCTCTGTTCCCCTAAATACCCTGTATTTGACCTAATCTGATTTTCTGATGCTTTTTAGAATGTTATATGGATTTGTGGTCGGGATGTGCTCAATGATGTTGTTAACCTCTGTAGCTATATCCTCTGGTAGGGCTTCTACTATATAAACAAACTTCATTTGCTGTGAAAGTTATCTTTTAGAATTGCAATGAAGCTTGTACTTGGTTTAACCAGGTCCAAGGATTTCTTCTGTTAAAAGGAAGTAAATGAATGCTGTTTAGTTTTGTTTCATGTCATTACGTAGACATGTCTGAAACTGACAATGAGACATCTTCCATTTTTACAGTCATGTTCGTTTGTGTGGTCACTAGGTGATCCAAGATGGAATTTGGTTGGAGGAAAGAAAAAAATTAGACAAATTGGAGAAATGACCACAGATTTATTTTCATTTGAAATGGCCACATATTTATTTTCATTTAAAAGATATGAAAATGTGTCTGGTCTTATAGTGTAGTGTTCGAATGTATGGTGTATGAAATGAGAGCATGAAAAAGGAGTATGCTTAAATCTGCTGACTGCTTGTTGGCTATTATATGAAGCAAATTGGATGTTTGTTCCAGCAAAATGACAGAATATCAAAAGAACGTTGTTCTTTTTTTCCAATGACACCGTTTTATTTTAACTATCTCCACTCCTCAGCAATGTTTATTGTTTTAAAATACAATGATTAAAATAGTAATAAAATCTAAAATTTACGCTTTCGTCATTTCTTAAGAATTTATAACAAAAATATTTAATATTATCTATTTATTAGATTGTTTATTTACAACAATCATTTTATATTTACAACATTCTAAAAAGTAATACATTTAAATTGCAATGCAATATTTATCATTTACTAATTTATAAAGAAATAAAAATAAACAATTTTTTATTCATAAATTTATAAATATTTACTACATTATTAAAATAAGTAAATCCTTCTTATTTACCATTTATGAAGTTCAAATTGATTGGCAATTAACCGATGTTTTGCCAACCATTCTAATAAACAATCTAATAAATAAGTAGTGCTTATTATTTTTGTTATCAATTCTCAAGAACAAAGAAAATCTATAAATTCACTTTCATATGTTTAAATTTTATTATGGCTTTGGTTTTATTATAATTCTGATCCTTTTTTTAATACAAAGGAGTGAAGGTAGTTAAAATAATAGTGGTGTCAAGGGAAAAACCCTTTTTGACACACTTTTTTTTTTTTTCTGCAGGCACAATGTTTAAAGATAGGCAAATTTCCTATCATATAACATTTGATACAAGTGCTACTGGTAACTGTTGCATGGTTGGCAATTAAACTGATTCTCCTACCAGAGTTTTCTTGTGAAGAGGATGGTTAGACAAACTTTATCATGAGTGTGATAATGCAATTTTGCATATCACTGCACCAACTGTGATGACATCCAATGTTGGCTGTATGCGAATACACCAGTGTTTGCTATCTTCTACAGATTCATCACAATAATCAATATTATGGCCATGATTGCTGTCAAAAAACAATAGCAATAAATGCTTATCAAGACACTTGTTGGGTTGGGAAGTAGCAAAAAAAAAAAGATACGATTTTTCACTTAGCAATGTTTTCCTTCTGATATGAGAGAGCAAACTTTTTCTAACTGACTTCCTCACTAAGTTCCAGCCACCGAAAACAAACCCTTACACACACACTGACTGTTTCATTATATGGATATTGGCTGGGGGAACCACCACCCCTTCCCATCCATTCATGTTCTACCAACCTGAGAGTGGGACCACCCAGACAGATCTTGGATGGTCAGACTTTCAAAGGATCCTACTTTTACGACTATTTAAAAGAACTAACAAAATTTTATTTGTGACATTTCAAAGGTGGGCTGGAGACAGGATTCCTGAGAAACCTTGGTCATTAAATTGAGTAAAAGGAAAAAGAATCTATTTATTCATCTCCTAAGGGTGTGAGAAATTGTATTTCTACATAAGTATGTATGTAATGGTAAAAAACATAGTATGTATAGGTATTATGTACAGTTTCACTGAAGGCTTAGAAACTTATTCCTCATCAGTGAGAGGGACAATTGTGGGTAGGTTTCAGTGCTCTCTGTGGTTTAGGCATCTCTAGGTGGTTGGAGCATTTCTTAGAATATATTTCCCTCTCACCTGCCGGAAAAGGGAGACTGCTGTATATACATTGAGGTCCAGTTTTATTACAACTTTTGGAATCTTACCTTTCTAATCATATTTTCATTTCTTTTACTCACAGGTGGGATACAGCGGGTCAAGAACGTTTCAAATGCATAGCAGCATCTTATTACAGAGGAGCCCATGGTAAGCAGTTAAAACTAGACAATGTTGAAATTCCAAGATGAAGCACTTTGGAATTATTGGATTTTATTTATAACTAACCTAGAAGCCACCTTTCACATTGACTTTAGCTTAAATTCTATGGAGAGCTTTTGGCCTTCAGTGCTCCATATATGTAAGAGTCATAAGAATTTAGAAATAATAAAATTATTTTATCCTTATTCGATACCGTAATTTAGCATAATCTTTCTTCGTATATGCAATGGATCTCTAGCTTGTTTACATTTATTTTGCGTGCAATTTTTATATTCTTTTAAAATCGCAGTTTTTTATGATCCCTTCACATAGTTACTCTTAAGATATTAGGGAATACGAATTATGTGATATTTTGAATATCTCACAGTACGTGTGCTAGAAAAAGGAAAAAGAACCATATGAGCAACATACTGTTTCTCACTTAAGTTTTAATTACGGTTTAATTAGACAATTGCAATGAAAAATGAAATTAAAGTTAAACGTTTAGTAAAGAATTTTTTTTTTTTTTTAAACCTTTCACTCTGTTCGATATTTAAATTTAATTTTAAATGAGTTATTCAATTTTTAATCTTCTGTAACTACTCATTACTATCTGTTAATTCAGGTTGTTTATGATTTGCTGAGATCAAAAAACAGATGGACACATGTACACTGCGCTTTTATTATTATAGATCCAACATTATTTCTTATTAGTTGAAATGCTAAATTTAGTGTTTGTACATTTATTCAGTAAATACCTCCCATAGAATGGCAAGACCTGAATGGCAATGGTGCCTTTGTCCAGTGAATGTCTTACCATTATGTAGGAGGCATTTCTGCAGCTTCCTGTATAATGTTTAAAGTAATAAGAATTAAGAGTCTGTCTATATTTCTGAGATGAGGTATTATGTACAGTATTTACATTAGTCGGACTATTGTCCTCATCTTTGACGCCATATTTGTCACAACGTTTCGGCTGTTGTATGCTCCGGCCTTCTTCAGGTGGTTGGAATTTCGAACTGAACCCTTTATTTTGATCACTGGGGTAGACTGTTCTGCCATGTTTGATGGATGTCAGTTATCAGTTATCTCCTGCTAATTTTCCCTCTGAAAGTTCTCCACTGCCTTAACCAGGTATTGAACTCACCTTCTTTGGGTCTGTCACTGGATCTAACCAATGCCTTTATCCACTGTGCCATGTGTCCTCAAGGACACATGGCACAGTGAATTCAATACCCGGTTAAGGCAGTGGAGAACTTTCAGAGGGAAAATTAGCAGGAGATAACTGATAACTGACATCCATCAAACATGGCATGTGGAACTAGAACAGTCTACTCCAGTGATCAAAATAAAGGGTTCAGTTCGAAATTCCAACCACCTGAAGAAGGTCGGAGCATACAAAAACGTACAAATATGGTGACAAAGATGAGGATTCCCACTAATGTAAATACTGTAATAAGAATTAATATCGGAATACAAATAAAATTCATTAATTCCTTATGAATTGCTTTGTTTACATTTAGGCTATGAAGCATAGGTTAGTTTATATAGGGGTAATTGAACCATGACAGGTTATGAAATATTTTCCATTGATGAGTGCTCTAAAACATACCAGCCAAGATGGTGGTTTCATCTATGAGAGAGACACAGGTTCAAATCCTGTCAGAAGTTAGATTTTCTTTATTACGACTCTTGACTGCACAAGCCAGTAGATATAAATTTAAACTATTTAAAAAAAAAAAAAAAAACAAGCTCTGCTCAAACACATGTTGACACTAAATATAATGTTTAATATAATATGAAATAATTTACATTGTGCTGTTGTTCTCATCTTTACTGTTATATTCATGACGTTTCAGCCATTGTATGCCCCGGCCTTCTTCAGGTAATATATGCTGGAATTTTGAACGAACTCTTTATTTCATCCACAAAGGTAGATTGATCTAGTTCCACATGCCATGCCTTTTCTGGATATCTCAGTCTCAGTTATTTCCCTTTAGCAACTCAACTCTCCAAGTTTTTCTTCACCTCTGCTGTAGCCAGGTATTGAACTCACAACTCTTTTGGGTCGAGTCACTGGATTACTTCAACCAACGCTTTTATCCACTAGGCCATGTGTAAATAGTTACAATACCTCATCTCAGAAATCCTGAAGAAGGCTGGAGCGTATAATAGCTGAAAGATCGTGAATATGGCAATAAAGATGAGGACAACAGTCCGAATAATGTATATAGAGTAACTAGTTACAATGCCTCATTTTCGAAATATAGGCTAATATGAAACCCTTTCATTATTAATTTATGATTACTTGTTTATCTTTTTCTGACTGTTTATCGCAACGTTTAAATTTCCTTATTCTAAACTGGGACTGAAATTGTAAGTGTGAATCTACGGCAGCTGCAAACTGTTTACTAAGTAAAATATAATTTGTTGTTGGATAATAAGTAACAATAGATAGAAAAAAATATTAATGAGTAGATTTTGTGCTTTTCAAATTATTCTGAATAGCATTTTAGGGAAATTTAAAACGATATTTCTGCTAAAGTCTTAAATTATGCAAGTGACAGGTGTTGCTAAAATAATTGAATTTTACAGTTTTTATTTGTATATACAATTGGATTACGTATACAATATTTGATGTGCATTTTGTCATGGTGTAATGGTTAACAAGCTTGTCTCGCTTGACCAGTTATAATTGAATAGGAAGTTTGGTTCCTACTGGGTGTCCCAATACTTCTGGCCTTGTACCAAATTTGAGCTCTACTTAGAAAATTACCATATTATATTTGATAACCTAAGAGGCTCTCTTTTTTTCTGAAAATGTCTTAAAAAAAATAATTCAGATTTTATGTAAAAAGTTCTCGATAAAGTTTACCTATATGCCTTAACCCATTTTTTTTTTTTTTTTATCATTTCACCCCAAGCAAGGCAATAAAACCATTAAGATTCAAGGAGTTACTGAGTGAGATTGAATATGAGAAAAAGAAAACATTAAGGGGAGATAACAATAGGTGAAAAGGAATAAAGACGGAAGATAATGATTGAAATTGCATTTAAATTTTGAACATGGAAGTTGACTGGTAAGCAAGAAGCCAGAAGAGAGTTCCACAAGCGAGAAGTGTGATGGAAGAAACTGTTACATCTAAGCATTTCAGCTGTAAAATGAGAATTTAGTACTGTGCTAAAATTCATGAAATCTATCAGAACAATTACCATGAAAGTATTTATAGAAAAGGTGCAGTGAAGCTACATTATGATTGGGGTTGGGGAAAGTGACTGAAGCTGAAATGCCAGGTCAGAACCAATAAGATTGCAGATTCTTATTTGGATTTCATTAAGAATTTCTAAGTATCTGTCTATATTTCAGAGATGAGGTATTCTGAGGACACGTGGCACAGTGGATAAAGACGTTGCTTAGATCCAGTGACAGGATCCAAAAGAATGTGAGTTCAATACCCGGTTAAGGCAGTAGAGAACTTGGAGAGGGGAATTAACAGGATATAACTGATAACTGACATCCATTAAAACATGGCACATGGAACTAGAACACTCTACCCCAGTGAGCGAAATAAAGGGTTCATTCCAACCACCTGAAGACGGTCGGAGCGTACGTCCGTCCGAAACGTTGTAATAAATATGGCGACAAAGATGAGGACAATAGTCTGAATAATGTAAATAATGAAGAATTTCTAAATACAGACAAATGGTTGACTTGTAAATGCTTTAATAGAAAAATCATCTGACTTCAATTATAGCCTACATTTTCATTTACAATTTTTGTCCTCTCTTCTGTGTGTGTGTGTGTGTGTGTATATATATATATATATATATATATATATATATATATATATATATATATTCAGTTGCATGTATATTAGTTTGTAACCCTGGGTTTCATGCTATTCAGAGTTTGATGATTGCAAAAGTGTGAAACCCAGGATTACAAACTAATATCAATGTAACTGAATATGTTAGAATTGATCAGAGATATTGAGCACTTTTGGATCTGGTAGTTCAATAGGAACAAATAACTGGCATCACAAGGAGAAAAATAACAATAGTCAACAGATATCCTACATCAGCCAAAACAATAGCCACCTGATGATGGGCAGAAAGTATTTGGCTGAAACATTGTCTCTAATAATATCTACAATAACCAAGCAAAGAACAATAATTTGAAATGATACACTTTTTTATTTTCCAGTGTTAATCACAGCATTTGATTTGACAAATATGGCGTCTTTGGCCAATGCCATCAACTGGATGGAAGATGCAGCAAAAAGTGCAGATAATCCATGCAGATTTCTGGTTGGGACAAAGAAGGACCTTGTTGTATGAACTATTTTCTTTGTTTCTTTTGCCTAATTTGGGGATTTAGTATTATTTGTCGTTGATTAGATTGGAAGTTGATAATCAATGCCATTGTGATGACCATCTCTCAATCAATAAAAGTAGAAATGGGATTCTATTCTATTTCTTATTACTATAAATGTTACTTTTAGTTGGGCGCAGGGGGGGGATCTGTTTGAGTTTTTAGCCATGCTATTTTGTTAATGAAATTATAAACAGACCTAGACTGAGAAGTCCTACTAAAGAAAAATGTGCCTCCCAACAGAAATTGAACCTGTATCCTATTTTTTTTTTATTAAAAATGTATCTTTGTTAAAATACAATCTTTAGACAGTGTGCCCAATAAAAAAGCGGCAAATTTTATTATCACTGTTTTATCTTTCAGGAATAATTAACCTTGAATAATTATTCAATGTGCATAATTACTGAACTCTGTTTTTTTTCTGATGGACTAATTGCTGCTCAGTCTTGTGATTTGTTATTTAAAGGTTACTTGTGAAGAACTTTTGTCTTTCATTTTGCCTTTCTCATATGGCTAAACAACTCAGTCACTTTGAGTGTCAAGTTATCGTACTTTTCAATGAACATTCAACGTTATGGAAAATTTAATGACCCCACCCCCCACCTCAAAAAACCCCAAAAACTCAAAAACTGAGGCATGAACAAAGTGAGACAATTGAACTTTGTAAAAAAAAAAAAAATACTTTATCCAAGAAACAAAATCCCTAATTAGAATGAGAGCAGATGGATTGCTAAAAACTTTCTTTTAGCATTTAAAAGTCAAAGCTTTGAGAAGGAAATCCAAATATGTTGAAATAGATGACACTTATCTGAATGATGTTCATATTCTCCTCTGCTAGCTGCATTGTCCTTGTATTATTCAGGTCAGCTTGTGGCCAGCATGCCTGTTCTGGAATTGGGTAATGACACATCTCTTTGCTTTGTGTTCTTGGCGTTTCCAGTTTGGAGTAATCTAAATCACATCCATTCTCTCGGTGTTCCATTCAGCATCTGAAATTGGTGCTCAAAATCCTATTTCACACCTAATTTTGGGCTATGCCCATTATCAGTTTATAATAGACCGTTATTATTATCAGCAGGGACCATCTACCAAAGAGAAATGGCCTACAGTTTTTCTAACGTGAGGATTGACGAGTTGTGTAGAAATTCTTCTTGAATTTTTCTGTCACGTCAGTTGTAACCAGTTTTCAATGGTCATCCCATGTTTTTCTAAATTTACTGGTTTTTTTAATAGGCATCCTGTATTATTGAGGATAATAATGTCAGATTAAAAAATACCTTTTAAAAAGTTCAAATGAAAGGTGTTGATTGTTTGATTTGTTTTTTTTATGGCTTACCAACCTTTTGCATGTTATTTAAAACCAGAAATATTTTTAGATTGTAGGATATTTTTTTTGTTTTTAAGATAATAATGGTTTATTGATACAATTTTTACTAATTAATCCATAACTAGGGGGAAGAAAGAAGAGGTAGATTCATACTTTTATGTACGTGAACATAATGAACAAATTGGAATAATTCTGAGTCATTATTCATTACACCATCTGGTATTCCCAAGCAGTCACCCATCTAGGTACAGACCAGGGTTGATGTTGCTTAACTTCAGTGATAGTATAGAAACCATTGTTTCAATGTGATGTGGCCATAAGCCTCCAACAAAAGACATGCATTTTCTTAAATAGGTAATTGAACTTTGCTTTATCAAGACGGTCCTCCATGGCCAAATTGGTAATTTCATTCTTGGACTATAGGAGTGGCTTTTCTGATTGAAAGGTTTGATTCCATTCAGGAGGCATATTTTTTTGTAAAAATGTAAAAGTAGACCCCAAAAAGTCACAAGTAGTGAAACTGAAGAGCAATAAGTGCTGTGCTCTTAAATGTTGACTCTACGAAGATCTGTCTAAAAAAAAAAAAAAAGAAAATAACAGATCTAGTGTCAAAAACAATTTATTTCAATTCCAGACAACAAACTACATGGTTCCTTCTCCAAAGTAACCCCCCTCAAGTCTAATGCACTTTTCCATCCTTCTTTGTGATGCTTCTATGCACTGATAGAAAGGTTCTTCTTAAATGCCCACAAGCTGTTCATTACGGGCCTCGAAAATGGGTTTGTATTGTGATGCCCTTGAGCTTGGAGAAAAGAAAAACGCGACCGTAAAGTCATTTCTGTTATGATTACTTCTCTTTTGAATAAATATGCATTTTAATAATTTGTGTTTTGTCTTGAACGAAATCTCAGTTCTGGAATTCTGTTTCAGGAACCAAGTGAAAAGAATGATTCATCATCAGTGCTCGTCTTGTTAAAATTTTAGGACTGGATAATTGCAATCCAAGAATTGATATCGGAAAATTGGCTAAGCTGTACCTCATGAGGTACTTGTAATAGATCCAGCCCTGTTTTGATGACAGTTTTGTAGTCATTTCTACCTGAACTTTTGGGATGAGGTGTTATCATTATTTATATGCAAACTATTGTCCTCATCTTTGTTGTTGTTATCACTTCAGTTATTGGGCCTTCTGACCTTCATCAAGTGCTTGTCAATCAGGGTCACCTTCAGTGAATTTCATATTGATCCCCTTAATTATTCTATATGTTTTGGCCAGTGAGTTCTCCAACCTTCCTCATGTGGAATCTTCAGTTTTTCCCCCTCAAGTTAACATATATTTAATGGTTAAGTATTGAAGATTTGTCTGGACATTTAAAAAAAAAAAAATGTTTAATAAATTTGACTAAAGCTCTCATGATTTCAGACAGCCCAATTCTTTGTGTTTAGATCTTTGGCCAGTTGGTCAAAGTGGCCAGAACATTTTTTCTTGGTGTCTGTTTTAATATTTAACTAGCTGAGCTGTTAAACTGATTCTTTAATTGAAATCCAGAGCTCAACTTGATGTTTCTTCTTCTTTGTTTTTTTTTTTAAATAAACTTTTTTTTTGTAGTTACTCTGTTTATTTCCCATCTTTCAGTCACCTGCTGCCTATGAAAATATCGAGCAAGAAGCCATAAAGTTAGCAAATTCACTAGAAGCTGAATACTGGGCTGTCTCATCAAAAACAGGTAGGTTAACTTATTCCTCCTTTGAGTTTTTAATCATTTCACCCCAAGCAAGGTGATAATGCCACTAAGATGCAAGGGGTTACTGGGAGTGAAAGAGAATGGGAAGACTTCAAGAGGAGGAACTGGAAACACAATCCTAAACAGGAAACCAGGGAGTGTGGACCAGATTTGAACATTATAAAATCCTCCTCCTCAATTCTACAAATGGATATGGCCAGAACGTCAGTTCATGTATATTAGTTGCATGCCAATGTCTGTGTAGATGATCTTTCAGTTGACTCAGTGACATTGTCGGCCAACTTTTCTCCCTGTCTTTCTCTTTTGCTTAGTACGGTGCCTTGTAGGCTAGTAGAAGAAAGATTGTTGCTTTTATGATGTCCATACCATTCCAACTTTGTTGGCGTGTCCATACCATTCCAACTTTGTTGGCGTGTCCATACCATTCCAACTTTGTTGGCGTGTCCATACCATTCCAAATTTGCAAAGCAGGAATACCATTAAAACGCAGGGGCTTACAGAGAGCCAAAGTGAAAGAGAAGACTCGGAATAGGGTGGATTGAGGAAAGGACAAAAGATAAACAGGATTCAAGACAGAAGATGGCAATTGACATTACATTTAAATTTTTGAAGATTGTAGTTATCAGGGAAGCAGGTAAACAGGAGAGTGTTCCACAGGTAGGTAGTACTAGAAAAAAAACTGTTGGAGTAGAATTGGCGGTTACATTTAATTATTTCAACAGTAAATGGGGGGGTGCCAGTCCAGTAGTACACTTAAATTCATGTAGTCGGGACATCAAGGAAGAAAGTTTGCCAGAGCAGTTGTTATGCGAATATTTGTTGAAAACACAGAAGGAAGCCATATTGTGTCCATGAGAAAGTGACTGTTTGGTTATTATTTAGTAAAAGTCAGTTATAGCTCTCATTGTGTTTCCTTTGAGTCTCTACTTTACTAGCTGTGATGACCTTTTAGCAAAAGGTACAGGTTTATCAACAGCAAGGAAGCATCAGAAATTTGCCAATTGGCAAGAGCATTAGTAACAGACTAAAGATGGTGAAAGTTGATTCTATCCCTTGATGTGGAGTTATAGTGCAACAGATGTCAAGTACCTCTCACAGTCAAACATATAGTAGCTTAAAAGCCGCCCTATTGGGCAGCATTTAAGCTAGCTCCTGTAGAGGGCTCTTGATTGTGCCTTCATCACAATAAATAGGGAAGAGAAAATGCAATAGGCAACATTAAACTTCAGAAGAATTCAAAATTGATCACTGCATTTAAGTGCTGCATTATTGAGCTTACCTTTTAAAAGTTCAACTATAATTTTACTTCTGCCACTTAAAGACAATTTGATATATGTAGATCCTTACTTTCTGCACAAACAATTATTTTTATTTCATGAATGACTTTTGCTGGATTTCATAATTAATTTTGATTATTCCCAAATTTATTTCCAAGTTATAAAAATTATCGTACCAAAAATTTGTTGTAAAAAATCTGCAAAATCTATCGCAGTAATAAAAACTTGGGAATCCAAAATTTCAGGATTGGGGATCCGGATCTGTCCTGGAATGTTTTTTATTTGCTCACAGAGTTGGCCTGATTCCAAAATGGTATGATATGATGGGCTATGGCCTTTTGGAGTAAAGTTCAAAATGTTTGATACAGTGACACACTGACATTTGCATTAATTACAAAGAAGTTGCCATCTTCTCAGTCAAACGCAAACAAAATATTATCAAGCAAACAATACTAAAGAACTCTTTCAAAATAATGAAACAATGTCTTTAATTTCACTATTTACATTATTTGAACTATTGTCCTCATCTTTGTCGCCATATTTATTACGTTTTGGCCGTTGTATGCTCTGGCCTTCTTCAGGTGGTTGGAATGTCAAACTGCACCCTTTATTTTGCTCACTGGTTCTAGTTCCACGTTTAATGGATGTCAGTTATCTCCTGTTAATTCCCCTTTCAAATTTCTCCATTGCCTTAACCAGGTATTGAACTCGCATTCTTTGGGTCCTGTCACTGGAGTTAACACCTTTACCCACTGTGCCATGTGTCCTTGAGGACATTTGTGTATGAATTTCTGGGTGTTATAAACCTAATGTCTTCAGCAACCATTTTTACCAGTGCTCATATTGCAATTTTTGCTGTTATCATTGCATGCTTTTTACCAGAGCTCATATTGAAATTTTTGTTGTTATTATCGCTTTTCTCTGGCACTCCTTATTATTGGTTCCCATATTCATTTCTATGCTTGGTCAGCTCGGGAGATTTTTGTGCTTGAGTCTTACGGGCATACAATCAAGGAGTTGGCCCCAGACATCACCAAACTTCTCCGTATCACTGCTTGCAAGAGTACAACAAACATTATTTTTAAATATCTATTAACCTTTATCACTCTGTAGGTGACTATTTTTGCCAAGCAAAATGTTACTTCTGCCAATGCAATTTGAATTTCTTGGTTGTGTAGTCATATCCTTCTATAGCAACACCTAAAACAATCTTGACTGAAATTGAGAGCCAGCCTACTGCAATTTCAAATATATAGAATTAATATATAAAACATATTTTGAAGGGATTCTGTATACATTAAAAGGGGAAGTAATATTTATAAATGATAAAGAGTGCTAAATGTTAATAAATTTTGGTATTTTTATTTGGTTGCATGAAATATTAATCTATTCAAAACTGGAATAAAGACAACAAAGATGTCAACCATAAATATTTAATAACAAACCCCAATTGTCAGGAAACTCAATTTCTATAAAAATCAATATATTGTATTATGTACTCTTACAGTGGCCCTTAGATCCCATAATATACTTCTGTTAATAATACTTGATCATTGGCACAGATTAAATGGATGTAGGGATCTAGGTGCCTGTGTATACCTAGGATACCATTTCTGTGCTTTGCTATAAATATTTCATGAGATTTATTGAGAATTTTTTTTATTATTGAAAAGTATTTTCCTCATATGTAGAAATCTCATTAATATACACAATCTCATTAATAGATGTAGAGGAAGTCGTAATGATTAAATGTAAAATAAATAACCGAACTGACAAAGTTTGCAATAAACAACAAGAAAAAGAAAAGAACAGGGCAAGAAAAAATAATATAAAGCAAGCAAACAATATATTCAAGGCAAATTCACAGTAATAAGGCAAAGCAGCAAAATATGACAAAAAGTTCACAAACAAGACACACAAGATAAAATTGGTATAAACAAATAAAGCATTCTGACTTTGAGACTGAGGCAGGATTTGGCACAATGCCATTTTTATGTGGGGCGATCCTGAGCCCATAAGCCTGGGCAAAAATTTGCCATAGACCCTGCATATATGGGGCTGGGCTTGTCTATCTCCCCCGGTGTGACTCTGCCCTTCGGTATAACCTTGTCTGGGTTCCTCTTTGCCTGAAGACGGAGAGTATGACAAGTCAGCCCAAACTGCCTGAAACGTCAGACTGAGACAGATGAAACCAAGAACCAGCCTATTTTATTGGCTAGGAAAAAATCCCAGCATGCATTTGTGTGCTTCTGGCTTTAAATTGGGGAGGGGGGAAAGTGTTTTGTAGTCATTCCTTAACTGGAGATTGAAATTGACAGTAGAAAATTTATTAACCTGATTTCTTGAACATTTGTGCAGATTCTGTTCATAAAATTTGACTAATAAGCAAATAAATACACTATTTACATTATGCAGATTATCATCCTCATATTTGTCGCCATATTTATCACAACATTTCGACCGTTGTACACTCTGGCCTTCTTCAGGTGGTTGAAATGTTGAACTGAACCCTTTCTTTCACTTACTGGGGTAGACTGTACTAGTTCCACGTGCCATGTTTAAAGGATATCAGTTATCTCCTGTTAATTCCCTTCTCAAAGTTCTCCACCACCTTAACTGGGTATTGAACTCACACTCTTTGGGTCCTGTCACTGGATCTAACTAAAGCCTTTATCCACTGTGCCATGTGTCCTTGAGAACATGGAACTAGAATAGTCTACCCCAGTGAGTGAAATAAAGGGTTCAGTTCGACATTCCAATCACCTGAAGAAGGCTGTAGCATACAATAGCCAAAACATTGTGATAAACATGGCGACAAAGATGAGGAGAATAGTCCAAATAATGTAAATAGTGTACATAATACCTCATCTCAGAAATATACAGATACTGAAAGGCCGAAACGTTGATAAATATGGCGACAAAGATGAGGACAGTAGTCCAAATAATGTAAATAGTGTTCATCATACCTCATCTCAGAAATATCGACAGATATTGAAGCAAATAAATATATAAATAACATGCAAAAATTTGATTGTTATTCCTATTGTTCCTGTCTACTTATTGTCGTTATGGCACCTGCTTTACAAATGGCCAGCAATGATATGACTCTCCATGAAAATAGATTACCCACCTCTAATATATCATGGTACCAAATTTATCTTGGTAGTTCAGTTAATAAGTTATGACAAAAGTTCATAAAAATCTGTGGTATTGGACAAAAAGTATATTTTAACTGTGTAGGACTGAAGATGCAGGCTTTTAAACAAGTTAAAAATCATTCTAAATGTAATGTTATATTGATAGTCTTGAAGTAAAAGAAAGATAATGCTAATGGAATCAATAATTCTTAGATCAGACCAGCCTAAACATTGGTAAAAGTTTTTCAAAAACAAAATTATAAATATGACACAGAATGGCTTTTTTCACTGATTATAGAAGTTTGATTACAACAGTTAATGTCTTGCAACTTCTTTCCTGTACTTCATAACACAACAGGGATAAAAGCTAATTCTTTTTTTTTTTTTTTCAGTAGTACATTAATAAAAAAAAAAAAAAAAAAAAACTATATTTACACTACATAAAACAACCAGATATGTAAATTGACAGTTGGGCAAAAACAGCTAAATATACCATATTGATGAATTTGTCATAAAAAAGTATCCACTGGAGTTATATACCTGAACATTCAAAACTTTACTAATATTG